AGCGAAAAAATTCACATAACAGCATAGATCGTTCAAATTTCTCATGGGATTGCTTTAACATAATACCAACAATAAATGTGCAACCATGAAGATTACATTCCAAGCACTAGAGCAAAATCCCCGGTAATTCCTAAAGCCATGACTGTAGGAGGCATTGCACCAGTTTTGTATAGAACGGCAAATGTGCAATGTTGTCAAACATTGAACTGTGTATGCTTGACATTACACAGGCTACGGGCTGAAAAGATTTCTTTACTGTGTATGACGTCAAGTTGTTTGTAATTGTCCATGAGTATTACGCGCCTATGCACGAAGTGCACTCTCCTGTAGTTTTGAAAAAGATGAACAAAACACAAACTAGCTGATTTGTATGACACAGAGTAAATGAACAATTCAGGATTTCTATGCGAATGTAAATAAATGAAGAGATGCATTTCCTTGGGACATAGCAATAAGCGCACAATCGCTAAGTAATCACGCACAATCGATGTCATCTATCGGACGAAAATATATATATAAAAGGCGAACTTAATAATTGTATGGTGTTGTCGGACAGTCAATGACACATTTTCTAATTTGCATTGTGCAGTCGCTCTCATGCGCAGACACCACACCAAGGCCCGCAGTCCTATCAAACAGTCAGATACCAGTCTGTCTGCGATGCGTGTTAGAGAGGACTGAGTATACGGTCAACTGTGAAGATACCGTCTCAACGAAGGTCAGTATTCCTTACTTTGCACAATACGATACGTACTGCATTAACTAAGATGACTTAAAACTGGTAAATGAGAAAAAGCTTAGCTGTCAGATGTATTTGCTAATCATTGCCGTTTTAAATGATTCCGCCTGCTTGCGAAAGCAACTGCTGGAGTACGAGATTTGAATGGAACCGTCCCTTGTGTAAGACTGTTACATTCTTGTGCGAATCATGCAGTGTGATGAAGCACAAAAGGTCCGAGATGACGTCTCAGACACTGCGTCCGATCCGGCGATCCGTGTTCATGAGAGTGTTTTGCCGCCGGGCCCATTCGAGCGGGGTGGGCGACAGTGCAGCAGACTCTGCTTAGCCTGTGATTTCTAGAATATGAAAATCACGCGAGTCAACTTAATGTACCCACAACACTTAAAAGTAGAGAGCAGCTGCGGTTGTTTGTGGTACTTGAAATTACACTCAACTTGTTTCCCATTGCATTTCGTCTTTTGGTGACACATTAGATACATGTGAAGTGAACTTGTCAATTTTATCATTTTTATCTTTATTGCTATGATGTCTAATTTATCACAAGGTCTACTGCTGTTTACTTAGGCGTCACACAAATTGAAACTAAGAATGTCACGCAAACATCGGCTGCCGTCAGCTGGACAAAGGAAGCCAGGCATAACATAAGCTACATCTTCGTGTATGCTGTACCAGTAGATCCAAAATGGGGCACACAGCAGTGTTTTGCAAGAACAGAAAACAACTGCACTTTGCAAAACCTACGACCGGACGAAGAGTACAATATTTCGGCCAAAGCCTGTATAAATCTTGGTTACTGCTCATCCTTGACAGAGGCAATGAAAATAAGAACAGAAAAGCCCGGTAAGGTCAATTTTTACAAAATAATCAGGATTTGTTTTGAGATGGAAAACTTATTTTAGTTTATAGTCAACATGTCCGTATATGCATGACCTTAAAAATAAGCAATAAGAGAAAAAAAGAATTTTGTAAAGCAGTCTCATGGGAATTATTACAGCAATTAAAACTGGTTTCACCGTCAATTATTTTTGCGGATTTTTTATGAATCGTCTAGACTGAGACGCCAACCGTATAGCCTTTTGTATTGGACATATTTAACGCACGGAATACGGTGTACGAAAACGCCCCTCTAGAGCGTACACAAATATTCTGAAAAAAATATTATATGTGCACTATTTTACTCCGTCTGCAGCTGAGAGCCTAATACTCTTGCTGCTGCTTCGTCCGCGTGTCAGTAGATACAGTGGAATCCGGCTAATGTGGACACGGTTAATGTGGACAACCACTTAATGTGGACAGTTGGCCAG